AAAGAAAGATTATCTGATCAGATTTTTAAATCTCCATGTGCTGTTTACAAAAGACAAATCCAAAGCAAAAGGACTCTAGTCAATAATAGCAGAATGAAAAAAGATACACCATGCAAATATTAACCAAACAAAAGCTGATTAATATAAAATGCAACATGCAAAGAGCATTATTAGAAATAAAAAAGTCACATATTAATTTAAAAAATCCCCCAAAGATTAACAATTCTGAACTTGTTTGCATTTAATAATTTAATTTAATAAAACTCAAGGTTTTTGTGCCATGATTCTTAAATCTTAGATGTGTTCCGAAAATCATTTCGTATACTCTCAATATATAATTAAGACATGTAGGAAAAAAAGATGAAGAAATGGCCAAACTATGTCATGATAAGATGCACACTAGGGGTGCCTGGCTGGCTCAGTAGCAAGAGCATGCAACTCTTGATCTCTGGGTTGTGAGTTTGAGCCCCAGGTGGGGTGTAGAGATCACTTAAATAAAGAAAATTTAAAAAAAAAAAAAAGATGCACACTAGTGAACTGGCAAAGGGATGGGAGGGCCCAGCTCTGATCTCATGCCCAAGTAGAGGCTCTTACCTCACCGTAACTCAGACTTTTCACTCATTAAATGGGGCTAACAATACATACTACACGCAGATCTTCTGAGGATCACAAAAGACAATGGATGTGAAAGTGTCTTGTAAAAATAAAAGTGCTACACAAATGTAAAGTGGCGTTATTCTTAATAATTTCAGATTTGCTGGGCAGGGAACAGAGAGCTACATCCTGTGACTCAGTCCTACCCCTCTTCCTGGGCCCACCCCAGCTTACAAAAATGGGCTTCACACCGTCAGGACCACAGGTTGAAGGATTAATATCAATTATGCATGGTGAGGGGGAAAAGAGTCTCAGCTAGGGGGATGGGGGTCACACAGCCTCTTCCACCGTCCCACCCGCAGGTGAACTGGCTCCCAGATCAGCCTCAGCAGAGGGACAGAGTATGAATGAAGCAAACCCCCCCACCCCCCGCCTCACATCTGAACCTCTCCCTCTCCTCTAAGCCCAGACCCCTACTCCACAGAGTGAGCTCAAAGGGTTCACTTCAACTTTACATCAATTGGAGTCAAACACAATAAAAATGAACGGTCCGTGCACCTCTCCACCCCCAATTCCACCCACCAGATTCCATTGGAAATGCTGCTTCCTCCCACCACCACCACCCCCCAAAAAAACCTTTAAAATCATACCTTGGGGGCACCTGGCTGGCTCAGTCAGTAGAGCCTGGGACGCTTGGTCTCGGGATTGTGAGTTCGAGACCCACACTGGGTGTAGAGATTACTTAAAAATAAAATCTTTAAAAAAAAAAATCATACTCTCAAAGCAAACAGAAAAACTTGCTATTTATTTGGGATTTGTTTTATTTTTTTAAATCCATGTTCCACTACTGCGGAGAAGCAGAAGCTAAAGGACAAGCCTCTTTATTTAGCAGGTGGACTATGCACGTTTGTGGATTCACTTCAGCCTCCAGAGCTCCCCTGGCCAGAGCAGCTCCTCCCTCGGTGGAGGGGGAGGGGGGTCTTCACCTGCTGAGACAGCTCCTCCTTCCTCTTTGCACCGAGGTCTTTTCGCCCCTGAAAGGGGGTTAGAGGTTCAAATTCTACTTGTCTTTGCAAACCGCCTTCCTTTCATCCACTCGCTCACGCTGGTGTGTCTTAGACAAAGTTGAGTTGCTTTATGGAGCCAAAAGATCCCCCTGCTGACATTCCCTGGGCGGGCAAATCCTGTCTCCCCCCTTCATAAGAAGAGCTCCCTGAGAACCAGAGCTGCGGGTTCCATCAAGACGGGCCCCTCCCCAGGGGTTCAAGAAAACCAATGCCATTCTCCCCCCAGCATTCTGCTCTCTGCCCACACGAGGGCGCACGCTCCACGCCCCAAATTGCCCACCACTGTCGGCGGGGAAGGTACTTTGCCAGAGGGAGTTAAATAGAGCCGACCAAGGCTTTGGACAAGGCTCTTCGGCCTGGGAGCAGGAAGCCCTGGGTCTCTCCTGCTTCCCGTCAGGGCCAGTTCCTACTCCCTGCGGGGCAGGAGGGGCAACTGGGGAGGAGGGACTAGTTGCCCTTTCTCGACTGTTCACTCTTAGCAGCCCCATGGAGAAGGAAGACAATTCCACAAAGTTGGCCCCCCAGGAAGTGGGGAAGAAAGAGGGGAAGGAGGCTCTGGTCTCCCTCTGAGGTGTCCAGAACCTACAGAGGAGCTTGCCTGGCTCATACTAGGCCTGGAAGGGAGAGAACAGTGACAAATGCCCCATTGCCCTGAGATAGAGTTTATCCCCATGCCCCGCACCCTGAAACCACAAATGCAAACAATGGATTCAGACAATAATTCAATTAGTCATCCTCCCTGATGGGGGCTGAGAGCCAGGCTTGGTTCCCATGAAATAACTGGGATGATTCATTCTGAGGCTGCAGGGATGGGCCAGCTCAATATTGACTGAAAGTCTTGACGCTGTGGTTGGCCCAGCCCCAGGGACCCCACCCTGCCCCCATCAAGAGCACCCCATGATTCTCATGTTCCTGCAGCTGCCAGCTACTCAGACCACCACCCCCAACACAAAATAGAGACAGGATCCTAAAGTAGGCCCCCCACCTTCAACTGGGCCATGGGCAGCTGCTGTGGACTCAGCCCTACAGGGCACTCCGGACGTGCCCTCTCTGCCTCCACTCCACAGAAGGAAGAAAGTGGACCGGCCCCACCCCACAGCCCTTCTGTCAGCACACCCAGAGCAAAACAGGTCTTTGTCTTCAGGGACCCTGCCAATGATGTGGGAAACAAAGGCAGAAGGAAATGTAAATTTAAATGTCCTTATAGTCTGCAGCCCGTTGACAAAATACTCGAGGCAAGCAGAGTAGACCTTCCTCCAGGAAGCTCCCAACTGTCTTAATGTAAATACTTTGCTAGAGGGAAAAACCTTAGCTTGACAATAGCAAGGCCTCCAGTATCTTGAGAGTCGGCTTTAACATATGAAAGTCCTTCTGGATCTTCCCTTATCTTTACTTCCCCCAACCCACAGGTATATAATCAGTTGCTCCTTACAATCCCGAGACAGCAGCTCTTTTCTGCCCACGTATCCTGTCCCCGAGCTTTAATAAAACCACCTTTTTGCACCAAGGACGTCTCAAGAATTCTTGGCCGTCGGCTCCAGCCCTCACCAACCTCACCAACATTGAAAAACTACATCGCATCACCAGGACTATCTCTGCTCCCCATTAGACCCATCCCAGCCTGGCTCAGGCACCATTTCCTTCCCCACCCACATCCTAAAACCCTCTTTCCTGGGGACCACCTGATTGTCCCTTAAGATGCCTTCGTCCAGGGCGAGACCCTTTTCTAATTCATGTAAAGGCACCTTACGAGCTAGCGGTGGCCTGGTCAGGGTGGCCCCAGGTGTGGGTCATTGCTGAGTCACTCCCAGAGATGACCATGAGCAAACTCTGATGGCTGGCACAGCACCACGAAGAGGAGGGAACAGAAGTCACTAGAAGCCAGGACACGGAGGCAGACTTGACCAAAAAAAGATATTTATTGAACAGTTACCCACCACCGGAGCTGACTTAGGCAGGCCAGATGGAGGGTGTCTCCACCTTCCTGATTTATTTTCAGCCCTTGAGGGCATCATTGTAGATCAAAGCCAAGGCTCCCAGGAAGGTGACATATTCCTGGAAGTTCACCACCTGGTCCTTGTTCCGGTCCAGGTCGTCCATCAGCTTTGCAATGTCAGCATCCTGCAGCTTCTAGCATGTCAGAAAGGGAAATCCAGACTCAACGTGATGAGAACCTTGGGTTCTCTCCCTTTCCCCCTTCCAGGCAGCCCTCCCTCACACAAGTGGCTGTGCACTCTCTTTGTCAAAGACACTGAGTCCACCTTGGGTTCACTTGGCTTTACTTCTCCTCCGCTCCTGCTCCTCACTAGGGAGAGTACCAGGCTGAGAGTATTAGGAATTGACCAATGGTCCCAGTAAGCTATGTGGACTTGGGCCCCAGAATGTGGATAATTGTGAGCCAGATACACCTGGCACCTCTCCCTCTCCTCACCCTGCTTCTAAAGGGCAGAGGTCGAGGGGCCTCACTCACCGCACCAATGGTGAGCTCTTTCTGGATCAGCTCCTTCAGCTCCTTCTTGCTCAGAGTGTTCTTGTCACCTTCCCTGCCCGAGTATTTATGGAAGA